GGGGGGGGGGGGAAGGAAATCAGTCTTTTACTTTTCTAAGTCAGCCTGCTATTCTCCAGCTGTTTTGCTGTTTGGCCTTTCTCATGAACAGGTCTTAAATCTTTGGCCTGAAATCACTATGTACAGCAAACAATACATGTGACTCTTGGATCAGTAAGTGAACCGAGTAATGACTTGGCTAGTGTGAGGTGAAAACAGTGACAACAGTACTCTGGTTCTGACCCAAACTCTCTTTATGCCTCCGTAGCTATTTTCTTAACCATCCAAAAGATGAGGCAGTCCTGTTTGGTTTTCAGAGTTAGTGTGATAACACCAGATTCCTCTCAAATCAGGGGGCTTCTGCCCAATCTTGTAACAGTCTATGGTCACATGAAAACATGCCTTCATGATGACAAAATGGATCTTGTACTCAGGTATCCAGATATGCCAGATGTTAACTACCTACTCTATACCAGGAGCAGAATAGCAAATAGCTCATTGTATGTACCTGAGTTCACAGGGTGTGCAGAAGAGCTGCCTCGGATGGCATGGACTCGCTCTTCCACCTCCTCGCTGATCATCGTCAATGGTATTTCAGTTACTGCAGGGCATGAGGGCCTACCAGAGCCAGCTGTGAGGGAACAAGAGTCACTGAAGAAACAGCAGGCACATCGTAACTGTCCTCATTGGGGCCTTGGCAGGTCATGGGCCAGGAGAAGGCTACTGCCAGCTTAGCAAGGGCTCAAACTCTTCCAGCATGAGTAGAACTCAGGCTTTTCCCTTCACCTTGGCCCACACCTGAACCCAATCATTTCTGCATTTTTTAAATTTTTTTTGGTACCAGTCCTAGGGCTTGAACTCAGGCCCTGGGCACTGTCCTACACTTTTTTTGCTCAAGGCTACCATTTGAACCATTGCTCTACTTCTGACTTTTTGGTGGTTAACTAGAGATAAAAGCCTCATGGAGCTGGGTACCAATGGCTCAGGCTTGTAATCCCAGCTACTCAGGAGGCTAAGATCTGAGGATCGCAAGTTCAAAGCCAGCCCAGGCAGGAAAGTTCCCATGAGATTCTATCTCCAATAAACTATCAGAAAACCAGAAGTGGCACTGTGGCTCAAGTGTAGAGCCCTTGCCTTGAGCTGAAGAACTTAGGGATAGTGCCCAGGCCCAGAGCTCAAGCCCCATGACAAACACATGCACACACACAAAAAGTCTTATGGACTTTCATGCCCAAGTTGGCTTCAAACTGTGATCCTCAGATCTCAGACTCCTGAGTAACTAGGATTACAAGAAAATATTCTTGGGGCTGGGAAGGTGGCTCAGTGGTAGAGCGCTTGCCTTGCATGCAGGAGGCCCTGGGTTCGATTCCTCAGCACCACATAAGCAAAAAGAAAAAGACGGAAGTGGCGCTGTGGCTCAAGTGGTAGACCGCTAGCCTTGAGCTGAAGAGCCGAGGGACAGTGCCCAGGCCCAGAGTTCAGGCCCTACAACCGGACCCCCCCCACACACACAAAAAAAAAAAAAAAAGAAAAGAAAATTTTTGGCAGTAGGAATTCAACTCAAGAGCCTCACATTCTTGCTTGACTTTCTTGCTTATAGCTTGTGATCTATCATTTGAGTCAGGTCTCCAGTTTAGCATTATATTGGTTATTTTGGATATGAAGTCTTGTGCACTGTTCTGTCTAGATTGGTCTCAAACTGCAATCCTCTAGGTCTCAAACACCTGAGTAGTTAGTATTACAAGTATAAGCCACAAGTTGGCTCAAATATTCTAAAGGATGTTTGAATAACTTAGAATGGGCGTTGTTATAAAGGGAAAAAGTCTGTAGACTTGACCAAAGCATGGGTTCTCAGGCCAGGGTAGCCCTTTCTACTCATGTGAAAGTTCCAAACTGGTCCAAAGCCTCAGAAACTCAGATGGTTTCTGAAAGAAGAAGAAAAAAAAAAAAAAGCCAGGAATGACAGGGAATCTGGGCAGCAACTAACCACGTTGAATCAACAAAGGGATGCGACTCTAGTGCCTCATTATCTCCCATACAGCACACAGGGTCATCACTCTTTCATTTACCTTCATCATATTAGAGTGGACTTTGGTAATATAAAGTATAATGATTTATATTTTACAAGTACCTGAGTCTACTTTATCTATTAGAACATTTAAAACTTTTAAATTCCACTTGCAAAAATTTTTCAAAAAGGGGAAAAGGTAATTGGGTGCTGGTAGATCATATCTATAATCCTAGCTACTCAGGAGGCTGAGATCTGAGGATCACAGTTCAAAGCCAGGCTGGGCAGGAAAGTCCATAACACTCTTAATTCGAATTAATCACCAAGAAGCTAGAAGTGGAGCTATGGCTCAAATGATAGAGTACTAGCCTTGAGCACAAAAGCTCAGAGACAGCTGGGCGCTGGTGGCTCACACCAGTAATCCTAGCTACTCAGGAGGCTGAGATCTGAGGATCATGGTTTAAAGCCAGCCTGGGCAGGAAATGCTATGAAACTCTCCAATAAACTACCAGAAATGACACTGTAGCTCAAGTGGTAGAGCGCTAGCCTTGAGCTGAAGAGCTGAGGGACAGCACCCAGGCTCTGAGTTCAACCCCCAAGATCAGCACCCCTACTAAAAAAAGGGAGAAAGCTAACTTATGCTATTAGATATCAGGATAATAGTTTGTAAGTGGGAGGCCCTGAGTTCTTTCACTGCTAAAAGTGAGAAAAAAGAAGATTATAGTTAGCCAAAGGAGGAAGGAATGTGAACATTTCTGAGGGAAATGTTTGGAGTGCTGCTAGTACTCTGTCCATGTGTTAGGAATACTCTATCCAAACTCATTGAACTATGAACACAATGATATGTGTATTCTTCTGTATATGTTTCAATTGAGTTTTTTTTTTAAGTATAACTGTAGAAGAGTAACTGTTTTTTAGAAATACAACACTGTTTCCAGTTCCGGAAACAATGTTGACAGGTAGGGGGAGAACAGTACTAGCACTAGGGTAGTGGAGGAATCCTAGGATATTCTAGCACAGACACAGATAATGTATGAGGAACCCTCACCAATGTCTCAAAAAGGGACAGTACATTCACTACTCACTAGAAACTGAAAACTGCTTGCGGGTGTTTGTAGACACAGGTACCTCCACTTCCATTTCATTCTCCTGAGTGGTGATACGAAGCTCTGAGATAGTAGACATTCGAGTGGAGCGTCTTCGAAGACCTGAAGATTTGAGAACAGCAACCAATCAGTGCTGAAAAATCAGGATGGCAGGATGAAGACAAGGCCAACCTCTAACGTCCTGTACAAGGTAGCAGAGGATGAAGTACTGGCATCCCTCAAATGTTTGTGTATGTCCTGAAAATTCAGGACCTCAGGGCTGGGAAGGTGGCCCAGTGGTAGAGTGCTTGCTTTGCATACATGGGTTCGATTCTTCAGTACCATGTAAGCAGAAAAAGCCAGAAGTGGTGCTGTGGCTCAAGAAGTAGAATGCTAGCCTTGAGCTGAAGAGCTGAGGGACAGTGCCTAGGCCCAGAGTTCAGGCCCCACAACAGACAGACAGACAGACAGACAGACAGACAGACAGACAGACAGACAGACAGACAGAGATACATACACACAGACACATACACACAAACACACACACACATACACACACACACAAAATTTAGGACCTCCTTAAGGCAAAGATACTGTCCATAAGAAACCTAGTTTGGCATATTTATAAGATTATGTCTTTGTTGCCTTGTATGTCCCTCCCCCATAGTATAAGCCCTGCTTTCACTATATATGATGTTGGTATATGTGGAGGGGAAGGGAAAAAACAAATTGCTAATGAACTTTACAACTTTGGAAGGGGGGACGGGGACGGGGGGACCGGGAGGGGAGAGGAAACAAAGGGATGGGAAGGGGAAACAAAGCAGGAGGCTACAATGCTTGATAAGAAATGTGCTCATTATCTTGCCCATGTAATTGTAACCCCTCTGTACAATATTTTCACAAAATAATATATATATATATGTATGTATATATATATATATATATATAAATAAACAAGAAACCTAGTTTGGGGACTGGGAAGGTGGCTCAGTGGTTAGAGCACTTGCCTTGCATGCATGAGGCCCTAGGTTGATTCCTCAGTACCACATAAGCAAAAAGAAAAAAACCTGAATGGCTCTGTGACTCAAGTGATAGAGCACTAGCCTTGAGCTGAAGAGCTGAGGGACAGCGCCCAGACCCAGAGTTCAGGCCCCACGACTGGACCCCCAAAAAAAAAGAAACCTAGTTTGTGGGGCACTGATGGCTCATGCCTATAATCCTAGCCTCCTAGGAGGCTGAGATCTGAGGATCAAGGTTCAAAGCCAGCCAGGGCAAGAATGTCCGTGAGTGAGACCTTTTTTTTTTTTGGGTCGGTCATGGGGCTTGAACTCTGGGTCTGGGCGCTGTCCCTCAGCTCTTCAGCTCAAGGCGAGCGCTCTACCATTTGAGCTACAGCGCCACTTCCGGTTTTCTGGTAGTTTATTGGAGATAGGAGTTTCACAGTCTCTCCTGCCCGGGCTGGCTTTGAACCGAGATCCTCAGATCTCAGCCTCCTGAGTAGCTAGGATTACAGGCGTGAGCCACCAGCGACCGGCTTTTCGGGAATGAGACTTTTATCTCCAATAAACCACCAGAAAACTGGAAGTGGTACTGTGGCTCAAGTGGTAGAGCACTAGCCTTGAGCTGAAGAGCTAAGGGACAGTGCCCAGGCCTAGCGTTCAAGCCCCACGACTGACAAAAAACAAACAAACAAAACAAAACACCTGGCCTGGGTAAATAAAGGAAAACTACAGCAAATCTGAAATCATTTCTGCGGAAATAGACCTATATAAGTCCTGAGGGGAAAAATTATGTATGTAAGTATGTATTTGCCAATTCCAAGGCTTGAATTCAGGAAGGGCTTTAAACTAACCTGGCTTGGTTACTTGGATAGGGTTCTACCACTTTTGCTATGTTCATGTCTATAGTTTAGCATTTTGCCCCTTAATCAGAGAATCGGTCTCCAGGACTTTTCTGTCTAGCTTGGCTTTGAACCATAATCCTTTGAATAGCTAGATTATAGGCAGGAGCAACTGGCACCTGACAAATATTATTATTAAACAGCAGCAGTACTTACTATTGTACAATCCTCCTATGTCTCCAGATTTGGGGTATGGCTCAGTGTCTGGTTTTTTGTCTGTCATGGGGCTTGAACTCTGGGCCTGAGCGCTGTCCCTCAGCTCTTCAGCTCAAGGCTAGCACTCTACCACTTGAGCCACAGTGCCACTTCCAATTTTCTGGTAGTTTATTGGAAATAACAGTTTCACGGACTTTCCTGCCTGGGCTGACTTTGAACTTTGATCCTCAGATCTTAGCCTCCTGAGTAACTATGATTACAGGCGTAAGCCACCAGCACCACGATTGTGTGACTCTTAATCTACAATTAACCAGCAATTAAGTAAAAAATAAAGAGTTGGTGGCTCAAATGGTAGAATGATAGCTTTGAGTACAAAAGCTCAGGAACAGTGCGTAGGCCCTGAGTTCAAGCCCCAGGAATGGCACAAAACAAAAAAATTAACAAATTCAAGATTGTATTGTAAATAACACCTTGTAGAACATTAACTTGTTCAATGTCACTCAACTCAGGCCACAGACAGGATATGAACCTTAGGGTGTCATATTACAAAGTCTGGGTTTTTCTCACTGCTCCAATTTGCTTTACAAAGCCCATCATCAGAAAGCCATAGGATCAGCTACACTGGTCTTCAGGAATCTTTTTATCTTCTTTGCCAGTATTGGAGTTTGAACTCAGAGCCTATGATTGCTTGGCTAGAACTCTACAACTTAAACCACACCTCCAGCCTGGCTTTTTGTATTTGTGGAAATAAAATCTTTTTTTTTGGGGGGGGGGCCCTGAACTCTGTCCCTCAGCTCTTCAGCTCAAGGCTAGCGCTCTACCACTTAAGCCACAGAGCCACTTCTGGCTTTTTTCTTTCTGCTTATGTGGTGCTGAGGAATCGAACTCAGGGCCTCAAGGCATGCAAGGCAAGCGCTCTACCACTGAGCCAACTTCCCAGCCCGGAAATAAAAATCTTGTAACTGGCTGGGCACTGGTGGCTCATGCCTGTAATCCTAACTACTCAGAAGGTTGAGATCTGAGGATTGCAGTTCAAAGCCAGCCCAGGCAAGAAAGTCCATGAGACTCTTATTTCCAATTAACCACTAGAAAATCTGAAGTGGTGCTGTGACTCAAAGTAGTAGAGCACTAGCCTTGAGCAAAGGAGCTCAGGGACAGTGTTCATGCCACATGACCCCATGACTGACAAAAAAAATAATAATAATATTTTGAATGGGCTGGGTACGTGTAGCTCAATTGTAAAGTGCTTGCCTAGCAAGTGCAAAATTCTGGCTTTGAATTGTAATACCTTAAATACTCAGCTTCTTGAGTATCTAGGATTTTGGTGTGAGACACAGAGGTCCAGCTCAGGAATCTTTTTTTCTTTTCTTTTCTTTTCTTTTTTTTTGGTACTGGTAATGAGGCTTGACTTAGAATATTCAGTTCTTCCTGGGCTTTTTCATTCCCAGCTGGCACTCTACCATGTTTGCCACAGCTCCTCAGTTTTGGCGTTTTGCTAACCAGCAAATTACTGTCTCACAGAAGCCGGGCATTGGTGGTGCACACCTGAAATCCTAGCTACTCAGGAGGCTGAGACCTGAAGATCGTAGTTCAAAGCCAGCCTACGCAGTTAAATCCATGAGACTCTTATCTCCAAATAACCACCAGAAAAATGAAGTGATGCTATGGCTCAAGCGGTTGAGTGCTTCCTTGAGCTGAAGTGCTTAGGGACAGAGCCCAGGCCCAGAGTTCAAGCCCCATGATCAATAACAACAACAACAAAAAAAAACCAGGGGCTAGGAAGGTGGCTCAGTGGTAGAGTGCTTGCTTTGCATGCCTGAGGCTCTGGGTTGGATTCCTCAGCACCACATAAGCAAAAAGAAAAAAGCCTGAAGTGGCGCTGTGGCTCAAGTGGTAGAGTGCTAGCCTTGAGCTGAATTGCTGAGGAACAGCGCCCAGGCTGAGTTCAGGCCCCACGACCGGACTAAAACAAAACAACAACAACAAAAAAAGCAGCTCGGGACAACACCAAGGCCCTGAGTTCACAAGCTCCAGGACTGGCAAAAAAAAAAAAATGTCTCATGGGGACTTTTCTGCCTGGGCTGGTTTTGAACCGTGATCTTACTGAATAGCTAGGTTTGTAGGCGTGAGCCACAGGTGCCTTGCTAACAATAAAAAACTTCTTTAAAAAAATAAAATAGGTTGGGTTGGGAAGGTGGCTCAGTGGTAGAGTGCTTGCCTTGCATGCATGAGGCCCTGGGTTCGATTCCTCAGCACCACATAAGCAAAAAGAAAAAAGCTGGAAGTGGCACTGTGGATCAAGTGGTAGAGTGCTAGCCTTGAGCTGAAGAGCTGAGGGACAGCGCCCAGGCCCAGAGTTCAGGCCTCACGACTGGACCCTCCCAAAAAAAATAAATAAGTAAAATAAAATAGGAAGCTAAGCAAGAGTTGGAGATCCTGAGTTCAAGCCCTAGTATCACATACACACATGAAAAAGCTTAAGAGAAATGGTTGAGTTATACCGGTGCCCTTATCAATTTGTAGGAATATAAATACTTCCATCTATAAGGAAAAAATTGTCACCTATATTTGAAATCATAAATGTGGAAACAAAACTTGGTTTTATATAAGCAAGTACAAGTACCAATTTGTACCAAGTATCTGAGTATCATTCATTTTAACCATCCCAACTCACCAGTGGTTTGATGTGAAAGTGATGAACATTCATTAGATACTGAATTTTGATCTTTTCCCAGGCTACTAATATGCTGTACAATACTCTTTTAAGACACTGGGCAGGAACAGCAGGCTGCAGCTCTCACTGAGCCATGAGATCACAAAGATAGGCAACTCATACCCTAAAGTGTACTATGTTGCTTAGCTATGATGTTCCTCAGGTTAGGTATATTAAGTGCAGTCTTGACTTTATAGTTATTTTCAACTTAATGCACATGTCAGGAGATAACCCATTGTTAAATTGAGAAGTGTCTATAATCCATTTATTTCACAAGAACAACTATGGTAGTTTTCTTATTTCACAAATAATTTGTCATCTTGCAGGGTTTTTTTCTTTGATGTATTTTTATTTATTTTTATGCCAGAATTGGGGCTTGAACTCAGGGCCTGGATATTCACCGTCCCTTAACTTTTTCGCTCAAGGCTAGAACTCTACCACTTGAACCACATGTCTATTTCTAACTTTTTTCGGTGGGTAATTGGAGATAAGTCTCTTGGACTTTCCTACACAGGCTGGTTTGTACCTTGATTCTCAGATCTCAGCCTCCTGAGTAGCTGGGATTAGATAAACTAGAGTGCTAGCTTTGTGTGGAAAAAACTAAAGAATAATGCTCAGAGATGGGTGTCGGTGGCTCCTGCCTGTAATACTAGCTACTCAGAAGGTTGAGATCTGAAGATCAAGGTTCAAAGCCAGCCTGGGCAGGAAAGTCAGTAAGACTTATTTCCAATTAATCACCAGAAAACCCGAAGGGATGCTTTGGCTCAAAGTAGTAAAGTGCTAGCCTTGAGTCTAAAAGCTCAGGGACAGCACCCAGGCTCTGAGTTCAAGTCCCATGACTGACAAAAACAAAAAAACAATGCTCAGGCCGAGTTCAAGCCCTAGTACTAGCACATGCACACATATACAGACAAAAAGATTCTTGGGAGTTGCCCATGAGGCTCACATGGTAGGGTATTGCTTTGCAAGTTCAAGTACTACATTCAAACACCAATAGTCCACCTGCCATACTTGGAACACAAAGACAGAGTCCACATACAAGCCACATGCTGAAATTGGAACAACAAATCTGCTTCAATTTCCACAACTCTGAGCCCTAGTATCACATCTAGGACAAATGCAGTAACAATTACAGTAAAAACTTTTTACCTTCTTTTGGGGCAGGAATTTTGGAGTTGACTGATTTGCGCTTTTGTTTCTGAAAAACAAAACAAACCACCAATATATATATTGGCTCTTTTTAATTCTATAGGGCCCAAGTGCTGTGCCGAAGCTCTAGGCAGATTTCAGAAATCAAATCAGCAAAGAACCAGTAAATGCAGTTCTAGATCATTAGCTACAGCCAGATGACTAGTACCTACCTGGATGGTTACATTTTCCTGCAGTGGCAAATTGTCCTTCTGGTGTAAGGGAAGATGTTGTAAGAGATCTGGGTTTATTGCAGCCACATCATCAAAATCAATCTATAAGGAGCAAGTAAGAGTTTCAGTAAACAACTCAGTGTTCAATCTAAATATACCTCTGAATTCAAGGCTACCTTTCCATTCAAATATTATCTTAAATTCTAATAAGGAGTAATAAGTATAAAACAAATAATCCTTTTTTTTGGGGGGGGGTCATGGGGCTTGAACTCTAGGCCTAAGGCGAGCACTCTACTACTTGAGCCACAGTGCCACTTCCAATTTTCTGGTGGTTTTTTTGGAGATAAGAGTCTTAGGGACTTTCCTGCCTGGGCTGGCTCTGAACATGGGTCCTTAGATCTCAGCCTCTTGAGTAGTATTACAGGGTGTGAGCCACCAGCACCCACCAAAACAAATAATCTTTAATAATGGTTTACCATCTAGATGGCTATGAGATTCAGATATCCAAGCCAAAGGTAGTCTGTCAGTGATGAGAGGGAAGTAAAGAGGAAGGAAGACAGGCAGGCAAACAGTCAGGTAGTCCTCGATAGATCTAGGCCACTTGACTCTACCAATCGCTAGATGGTGAGATCCTGGTGGGACACAGGATCATTTATTGCTGGCTGACACAAAGGAGGAAACAAGTTCTAAGTGACTGGAGATTGTCAAAACAGAAGGCCCTTCAGGATCTTACGGGCAGGAACAAGTTTCAGAAAGCTGCTACCTAAGTCTATCTACATTTTCTACTGGATCCAGAAATTACTTCCCCAGTCACAGCTTCCTACTCACACCTGCACCGAGGTCACAATTCTTGGTTTACATCATCAGTCTTGCAATCCTTCAGGAACAACTCAAGCTTCACCAGCATAACTTTATAGCAGGTTCAAACACACTAAGCTGTGCTAGAGATATAGCTCAGTGGTAAAGTGCTTGCCTACCATGTTTGAGGCCTTGGGTTTGTTTCTTCACAGAGAAAGAAAGCCAGCAAATGAGTCCCATTTTGTTATATTTTGAAATGTGTCAGAGCTGAAGCATTTACTCTAGGATATAAAAATTTATATTTACACCAGGAGCTGGTGGCTCACACCTGTAATCCTAGCTACTCAGCAAGCTGAGATCTGAAGATTGTGGTTCAAAGCCAGCCTGGGCAGGAATGTCCCCATGAGACTCATCTCCAATAAACCACCAGAAAACCAAAGTGGCACTGTGACTCAAGTGGTAGAGCGCTTGCCTTGAGCTAAAGAGCTCAGGAACAGTGTCCAGGCCTAGAATTCAAGCCCCATGACTGACCAAAACAATAAAAAATAAATTTTAAAAATCTATATTTACTTAGTTTTTACAGGCCCTGGCATCTACTCTTCCATCTTCCCCACTCAACATATATTTATTAACTTGCCTGTTCAAACATTAGGCACAAATAAGATAGTAGCATGCAAGGATAAGTTAATCAAAGATAGATTAAGGTACACATCACCTTAGCCATCAGTGAGTTCAAACTGTAACAGGGAAGAGAAGTCTAGGAAATGGCACTGTGGCTCAAGGGGTAGAAGGCTCGCCTTGATCTGAAGAGCTGAGGGACAGCGCCCAGGCCCAGAGTTCAAGCCCCATGACTGACAAAAAAAAAAAAAAAAAAAGATAAGTCTACAAAGGAGTAGATAGGATAAGGCATGAAACACTGCTGCAAAGCTGTCAGGTGCTTTAGTAATCACATTTCTGCTCATATTTTTGGGGGGACTAGTCCTGGGGCTTGAACTTAGGGCCTCGGCACTGTCACTGAGCTTTTTTTGCTCAAGGCTAGCACTCTACCACTTGAGCCACAGCACCACTTCTGGCTTTTTCTGTTTATGTGGTACTGAGGAACCGAACCGAGAGATTCATGCATGCTAGGCAAGCACTCTACCTCTAAGCCACATTCCCAACCCTTGTTGTTGTTTTTTTTTGTTCAATCATGGGGCTTGAACTCTGGGCCTTGAGTGCTGTCCCTCAGCAATTCAGCTCAAGGTGAGCACTCTACCTCTTGAGCTACAGTGCCACTTCCGGTTTTCTAGTGGTTTATTAGAGATAGGAGTCTCACGGTCTTTCCTGCCTGGGCTGGCTTTGAACCGAGATCCTCAGATCTCAGCCTCCTGAGTAGCTAGGATTACAGGCATGAGCCACCGGTGCCCAGCTTCTTCACATTTCTTATATAGCTGCAGACCCTTAGTCCACATGTTTCCTCATTTCTAGTCCTCAAAGTACAGAGAGCATAAACAACATGGAACACTAGGTGAGACTGACTCACTAATCCATGTTATACTGAACATCCTGGGGGAAAGGAACAAAAGTATGAAGGAGAAAGGAGACCAGATAAGGCTACAAGGGTATGCTAGCTTTGAGCAAAAGAAGCTCAAGGACAGTGCCCAGGCCCTGAGTTCAAGCCCACAATTGACCAAAAAAAAAAAAAAGACAGGGGCTGGGAAGATGGCTCAGTGGTAGAGCGCTTGCTTTGCATGCAGGAGGCCCTGAGTTCGATTCCTCAGCACCACATAAGCAAAAAGAAAAAAGCCGGAAGTGGCGCTGTGTGTGGCTCAAGTGGTAGAGTGCTAGCCTTGAGCTGAAGAGCTGAGGGACAGCGCCCAGGCCCAGAGTTCAGGCCCCACAATGGGACCCCCCCCAAAAAAAGGCTCTGAAGATGGGGATACAGCTAAAAGCAGAATGTGGGTGAGGCTTTGGGATAGCTCTCCAGCACAGGGGGAAAAAGTTTAGCCCTTATTCCAATGGCAATATTTGAGCTGAGACCTCCCCACTCCAAAAAATATATATGTGTGTAATTTTTTTGTTTGTTGTTGTTTTAGGACAAAATCTTACTATGTAACCTGGGAAGACATTTGTGATCCTAGTGCTTCAATTTCCAGAGTACTGGGATTAAGATATACATTTCAGCTGGGCACTGGTGGCTCATCCCTGCAATCCTAGCTATTCAGGGGGCTGAGATCTGAGGATTGCAGTTCAAAACCAGCCCTGGCAGGGAAGTCCTTGAGACTTTTATCTCTGATTAACCACCAGAAAACCAGAAGTGGTGCTCTATAGCTCAAAGTAGTAGAGTGCTAGCCTTGAACAAAAGAACTCAGGAAAGTGCCCAAGCCCTGAGTCCAAGCCCATGACCGACAAAAAAAAAAAAAAAAAAAAGACATACATTTCTTAGTTGAGTGCAGGTAACTCATGTATAATCCTACCTACTCATGAGTCTGAGATCTGAGGATTACAGTTTGAAGCCAGCCAATGATGAGTATTTGCACTCTATGCAAATCTTTGACTCTTATCTTCAATTAACTAGCAAAAAACTGGAATTGAAGGCAGGTTAGAGCACCAGCTATTAGTGGAAAAACTGACAGAGGGCATGAGACCCTGAGTTCAAGTATCAGCAGGAAAAGGGGGGGAGGGCGGCGGACATTTCTCGATGGTCATGGTGACACACTGGTAACTCCAGAAACTTAGGAGGTAGAGATCAGAGAACAGAAAGTCTGCAGTTTGAAGCCAACCTGAGCAAAAAGCTAGTAGACCCACATCCAACCAGTATACTGGGAATGGTAGTACATACTTGTTATCACATACAGAAATCATAAGTAGGAAGACTGTAACGCAGATTGGCTGGGGCAAAAATGAAAGACCCTGCTTGAAAAAATAAAGCAAAAAGAGAGCTCTACTATTGGAGATCACCTGACTAAGAAATACAAGGTCCTGAGTTAAAAAGATTAGCCACCATATAAGCTGGGCTCTGGTGGCTCATGCCTGTAATCCTAGTTCAAAGCCAGCCCAGGCAGTAAAGTCCATGAGACTTTGTTGTTGTTGTTCATCTTGGGGTTTAAACTCAGGTCCTGAGCACATCAGGGTAAACTATCTACTAGTGCAGACATTTGGGCCCGTCTGTATCCAGCACTTTCTGTCTGACAGACTACAACGCGCATGCAAATGTGTTTTGTCTCAATGTTTGTGTGTATGTATTCTGGAATTCTTGGAATGGTTCTCCTCTCAGATTCATCCTGATGCTAGAGCCCAGAAGAGACTGGCTAACACCCCCTTAATATCTGTTTCTCTCTAGCTCCTTTTTTACTTACACTTTAAACTGACCCCACCTTTCTACCCTTCACTGCCACCTTCTCCACCCTCTCTGGATCCAGAAGTAGAGGGGTGTTGGAGGTGAGAAACCTGGAGGATCTAACAAAAACATAAAAGGGCCATCAGGGAAAACTTGCAGCCGGATGAAACTGCCACTGACCACCTGCAAGTGACACCTGAAAGATCTCAGCCTCGGGCCTTGGCCCAGGTGGTCTGAGTATGGGGGAGAGCCTGTCAGTCTGAGGGGACAGCAACTAGGGACTTCTTTCCCTTGCCCCAAGATGACTGGGAATTCTCCACCTTAAAAGGCCCCTGGGGGACTAGGAAGGTGGCTCAGTGGTAGAGTGCTTGCCTTGCATGCATGAGGCCCTGGGTTCAATTCCTCAGCAACACATAAGCAAAAAGAAAAAAGCCAGAAGTGGCGCTGTGGCTCAAGTGGTTGAGCGCTAGCCTTGAGCTGAAGAGCTGAGGGACAGCGCCCAGGCCCAGAGTTCAGGTCCCACGACCGGACCCAAAAAAAAAAAAAAAAGGGCCCCTGGGTCAACGTTTACAGGAATCTAAAAAAAAAAATCCTCCGGAGGTGAGTAGAGGGGGTTCAAGTCCCCTGATAAGTGGATTTGAGTCCCACTTGTGAATGGTGGTCAGATGTCGCCCCATTCACTGAAACCTGATTTTGTCTTTGTGGCCACTTGTTTGTCTTGTTTACTTCGGTGTGTTTTCTGTTCTATGTTTTCTGAGGTAGGGATAAACTGGGGGCCCATCAACTCCCAACTCAGCCTTTGGTTGTTGTCTTGTCTAGTTCTGTTTTAGAATTGGTACCAGTTTTAAATGTACGTACAACTAATTTTGATTTTGGCAAACTTCAAGATCTGTGTGTGTTTTGTATGTGTTTGTGAATAGGTTCAAGATAAGAATTGTCAACATGCTGTAACAATTGGGTGAGTTTAAGTTTAAAATTCAAAAGG